GCATACGTATAAGGTGTCCCTGCATGGTACAAACTAGTCAGTGCTCATTTATTAACCTAAAGGTTGGTCCTGGGCACCCAAAGTTACCTCAAAGAAAGGCTAAGTGATCTATTGCTGGACTATCACAGCTACTGAAAACCCTACAGAGCGCACAGTTACACCCTAAAATGCAGGCGGTTTACTCAAGTCAGAATCCACCTGTAGGCAGCTAGCTTGGTTTTGGTTTATACACCGATACAAGGGGGTTTCATAAAGTTTGTGGAAAAATGGAAATAAAGAATGATGGAATTTTTCCAGGAACTTTTTGAAGCCCTCCACATATTCTTAATAATTCATTTGTACCACTAATATATACTTCATGATCCTTCACGTTAATTTTTAAAGAGAGAATGACACTTCAGTAACATAGTACCATCTTTCTAATTTTGCAGTTCCTCATATGCATAGGTTACCAACTAAATCTAAGGTCAAAGAAAGTGAGGGCTACATAGAGTCCTGGTGTGGCGCCGTAGGATGAGCACTGGACCGCTAACCACAAGGTTGCCAGCTGCCCCTCGGAAACCCTATATAGTGCTTGCTATAAGTTAGAACCAACTTGACAACACTGAACAACAATAACTATGCAAGCTGTGGTTAAGTTCCAATTCACAGCAACCTTGTATAGGGTTTCCAAGGAGCGGGTGAGGAGTTTGAAGCGCTGACCTTGTGATTCAACACTAAAAAAAACAATGTATTATTAAAGGAGTCTTTAAAAATAGATTTAAAAAAATTTGTGCCACCAAGGTCTGTTTGAACTTCAAGGTCAGTGGTTCAAATTCAACAGCTGCTCCTCAGAAACCCTCTACAGGGTCGCTATGAGTCAGAACCAACTCCACGACACTTAACAACAACAAAGGTGATTATTGTCCTGTCTCGTTTTTCTTCAATTGTTGCTAGACAATCAAAATAGAATGAATTTTAACTTCTCAGGAGTCAGTTAACAACTAACTGCAAGGTCAGCAGTTCAAGCCATTCTGAGGGGAAAAGATGAAGGCTTTCTGCTCCTGTAGAGCTGTACAGCCTCAGAAACTCTACACAGGGTTGCTATGAGTCACAACTGAATCAAAGGCAATGAGGGTTCGTTAAAACACAGATTCTGGTTCAGTATATCTGGGGTGGAAATGCCAACTCTAGGCGGGAAGCAGAACTGGAAAATAAGCCTTGGTTCAAATTTACCCAGACTCCTACGAAGAAGCCTGGTGCTCTGCTCCACTAAAAGATTGTGGTTGTCATTGTTGTTATGTGCCGTGGAGTCGGTTCCGACTCACAGAGACCCTGTACAGGGTTTCCGAAGCTGTAAATCTTTATGGGAGCAGAAAGCCTCATCTTTCTCCCACAGAACAACTGGTACTTTCGAACTGCTGACCTTGTGGTTCGCAGCCCCATTCATAACCACTACATACATTACAGCCAAGAAAACTCTATGAGACAGTTCTATTGTCACATGGGGTCACTGTGAGCCATAAATGACACAAAAGATTACATATGCAAAAAAAAGATTACAAATGCAGCAAATGGCAGAGTGAGGACTCTATCCAGGTGGTCTGGCTCCTGCCTCTCCAAAAAATCTCAACTTCAGAGCTTATGTTTCACTCCTCCACTGGCCCCAAGCTGCCAGTCAATCATTCTCCCTACCCCTTGCCCACCACCTCTCTCCAAGCTAGTACCAGACTCTCCCATTCCCACAAAAGATATGTCCTCTCTCACCAGTAAGCATATACAGACAGCACTCTTATCAACTCTTTCCAAACTGACTTCTCCTGCTTCTGAATTCCCATGACATGCTTGTTACAATACTACAGATATACACAATAACTGAGCACTTACTATGTGCTGGATACAACTGCTAAAAAATTTCCTATAACTTAAAGGATTATAAAGAATACACACGTTCCGATGATGCAGTGGATTAAGCACTGGCTGCCAACTGATAGCAGTTTGAACTCACCAACTGCTCCTCAGGAGAAAGATGAGTAAATCTGTAAAGATTTACATCCTTAAAAACTGTACTGTTGTTGCTGTTGTTAGGTGCCATGAAATCGGTACCAACTCCTAGCGACCCTATGCACAGCAGAGCGAAACTGCCTGATCCTGAGCCAACCTCACTACTGTTGCCATGCTTGAGTCGCTGTCTGCAGCAGTTCAATTCGGTCCCGTTATGTCACTATGAGTCCAAGGCAACTCAACTGCAGTGGGCTTTTTGGTTTTAAAGAATGAATAATCAGACCCGTGTTGTTGATAAGTGCTGTTGAGTAGGTTCGAAATCATAGTGACCTTGTTTAAGGTTTTCGAAGAGCAGCTGGTGGGTTCAAACTAGCGACCATTGGGTTCACATTCCAGTGCTTATCCTACAGCAGACCATGCCAGGAGTTCATTTGAGGCTCGGAGAGGCTGAATATCTTGGTAATGTTCTCACAGACAGTAAATGCCAAAGCAAGAGCGCTCCAGTTTGTCTGACTCACAGCTCACTCTTTGCCTATGTATTCAAGTCCTCATGTGCGCACACCTGCTTTACTTCTTTTATATCCTCCAGAGCACCTGGTGTGGCACTGTAGGGTCAGCATGGGATCGCAAGGTCAGTGTGAACACAAGATGGAGGTTCAAACACACCAGCCACTCCTCAGAAATCCTATACTGATTGGATGGCACTTAACAACAGAGCACCAAAGGAGTCCTGGTGTGGCGCTGTAGGAAAAGCACTGAACTGCTAACCTCAAGATCAGCAGTTCAAATCCACCAGATGCTCTGTGGGTGAAAGATGAGGCTTTCTGCTCTGGTAAAGATTTGTAGCTTAAGAAACCCTATACAGGGTCACTATGAGTCAGAATCTACTCGATGACAATGAGCTGGAGTTTTTGGGGTTTTTTTGTTTTGTAATTTAACAATAAGGAGTGAGCCCTAGTGGCACTGTAGGATAAGCTGCTGGCTGGCTGTGTGCCATGGAGTCGGTTCCAACTCAGAGCGACCCTGTACAGGGTTTCCGAGGCTGTAAATCTTTACAGGAGCAGAAAGCCTCATCTTTCTCCCGCGGAACAGCTGGTAGTTTCGAACTACTGACCTTGAAGTTCGCAGCCCGATTCGTAACCACTACGCTACCAGAGCACTACGATCCTAACCAAAACAAAAATAACAAACACCACAAGTTTCTCCGCTGAAGAAAGATGAGGCTGTCTGGCTCCATATAGATTTATAGTCTCAGAAACCCTACATCAGCTCGCTATGAATCAAAATCAGCTCAATGAAAGTGGGTTTGGGGTATTTATCAATTCTGGTGGAGTTCAGGATTATTGTCCCGCTCCTCCCTCCTTCAAGTCAACACGCTAACTAACCATCAGAATATAGCCCCTAGAAAAAAAATTAGCTATAAATTATTTTGCTTTGCTATCAGTTACTTAAGCGTAGTGGTTACGAATCGGGCTGCGAACCTTAAAGTCAGCGGTTCGAAACTACCAGCCGCTCCGCGGGAGAAAGATGAGGCTTTCTACTCCCGTAAGGATTTACACCCTCGGAAACCCTGTACAGGGTCGCTATGGGTCGGAACCGACTCGACGGCACTTAACAAAAAAAAAAAAAAAAAAAAATTACTTAAAGCCTCTCTGGGCCCTAGGGAAACATACAGCAACATGACAGCGTCCTTGATTTTGCAGCCTGCTAAACTTAAACCAATCTCACCTATTACTCAGTGTGATTTTTTTAACCCACTAATGAGCAGGCTGCAAATGCTCACTGCATAAACATCCTCTTCCTGGATGCAAAGGTTTTAGCAGCAGTTTTTAATCCCTTGGAATATTATAACAGCATTCATTGCTCATTGAGTCAACATAAAAGGTAATAATCACTTAGGCTACAGTGCTTTGTATTTTCATGTCATTAGAAACATGAAGCAAAATGAAATAAGCTATTAAAGCATCCCAATTGTTGGTAAATGGGTGAAACAGAAACCAGAAATAAGTATTTCATCAAAGTATCTTAAAAGTAAGAGTATCTTGGTTGCCTATTATAATGGGTTGCCTCATTCTAGTCTAGCGTACGCCACACCTTTCAGGTTGACAAAAAGATTTCTGGGTTCCGTTTGAAAAAAAAAAAAATCCCTAAAGAGATGACTTAATCCTTTACCAACACCAACATTGCTTCCCAGAGATAAATTCCTCCTTCCTTTTCATTACCACAACCCTTGACTTTTCGCCTGTAACAACCAGGGAGGGAGGGTTGGGGGTGCAAGAAAGGATGGTTAGAATACAGAACATAGGACTCAGTCATCCCTTAGTCTGACCCATCCTAAACTTCACCTTAGCACAGAGAGAAGCAGGAACACACCAAGAATTCCTAGGGTATGGTCTCACGAATATCGACTATCGGAGAACATTTTTAACTTCCTCGAAGCCACCACCTTTACCTGGGCATTATTGCAAATCCCCACCCGAATATATTACCTAAGAGATAACTTAAAAGCGAAAACACAAAGAACAACACTGCTTGAAGTGGGCAGCCCTGGTTCGGCCAGTGCGGTGAAGCCGAAAGACCCCGCTGAGCTGAGGCCAAGTAGCCAATGCGATCCCACGGATGGAGCGGGAGGCAGCCCGCGGTCAGCTGGAAAACCAGCGCGAGGGTCTTCAGGGCGCAAAGCGAGGGCCCTCCGGGCAGGAAGCGGTGCTGTGCTCCGGAGGGCTCTGGCCCGCGCAGGAGCGATAAGGTGGCTCGGCGCTTCCCAGCCGGCCAGCTCCGCCTCCCGGTCACATTCCTGAGAAGCCCGACTCCCGCGACGCCGAATCGGGGCATGGGGTGGGTAGGGGTGGGAGTGTAGTGGGCAGCCGCAAGGCAGGAGAGCAGCGCCGGCCCCGCGCCTGGCCCGGGCTCCCGCGCAGCGCCTCCGGGGCGGGGTCGCGGCGCCCGCTCCGCCACAGGTAGCGTGAGCTTTAGCCCGCCGCCGCCCAGGCGCCCCCGGCAGGCCCGCTCCAGGCACCTGGATGAACTGGATGGTGAGCGCCGACTTGCCCACGCCGCCTCCACCGACCACCATGAGCCGGTACTTCTCCTGGCCAGAGCCGTCTCGCCAGCCGGCAGCGGCCATGGGGAAGCCGCCGGTCCCAGTCCGGGTGCGCCGAGCTGCCGTCTTCCTTAGGCCCGGCTCCCGGGACGTGTGCTGCCGGAGGGCTGCGGGCGAGCGCCGGACGGGGGTCGTGGGTGCTGGGAGCTGCCCGGAGGGTCGGTCCGCACAGCAACGCGGCACCCGGGGTTGGCTGGGTCTCGCCGGAGACGCGGAGAAGAGGGTGTCCACAGGGGCCACGGGTGGCAGCGGCCGGGGGGCGCACTCCTCTACACGTCTCCGCGGAGCCTTCCGAACGCAGCCGCCAGCGCCGCCACAAATGGCCGTCTGGGGGCCGGGCTGCTATGCGCGGGTGCTAAATATGCATTAGGGGGCGGGGTCTGAGTGGGGCGGGACCGGCCTGCAGCTGAGATTTCGGAATCCCTAGGATTCAGCCCCCCATGCATTGCTGTTGTTGTTAAGTGCCGTCCAGTTTGTTTCCACTCATAGTGATCCTGTATAGGATTTCCAAAGAGCAGCTGGTGGGTTTGAACCGCTGACCTTTCAGTTAACAGTCCACACCAGAGGCTTCAGACCCCCATGCGTATGCCTCTCTAATCCCTTGGCTGTATGTATGCAAAAGTGTATTCTGGTGAGAGTGGCTATGGGAGGAAGACAGTAAAACAGAGTGTGACCATAATGGTATATGTCAGGGATTGGACTGATGAAAAATACAGAATGTGATCAGGGATGTGTGAAAAATAGATCTGTTGTCATCTTAATTTGTAGCAGAATAAATAACTGTGTTTGAAGAGGACAGACGGTAACCATAATTGTATAAAAAACATTGTATGTGACAGTAATTGAGGATAAAAAGTGTATCACAAGGATTGTGTGAGAAAAGTGACAGCGTGAGGAATAAGTCATAAGCATATGTGGACAAGAGTGAATGTGACAGATTTTACATGTGTCAGTAGAGTGTCTTAGTGGCTGTGTTTATATGTGAGAAATATGTGGTAACTGTATGTGAAGCATGGGAGTATGAGAGATACATTTGAATTTACTGAGCATACTAGATACCAGGCACTGAGCTTAATGCTAAAGAGGCACTAGTGAGCAAAACAGACTGTATCCCTGCCCTCAGACAACTTGGAGTCCAGTGGGGGAGATGGCCAAGACAACAGGCAAATTACAAAGCACACAGACAAAAGTTATAACTTCATAAACACCCGTTATATGTGTGCCCAGAGCAGATGTACCCAACCAGAGTAGGGTAATCAGAGACGGCTTCTGAAAGATCTGAAGGGCAAAAAATAGTGTCAGGTGAATAACTGGAAGAAAAGTATTCCAAGGAGAAGAAACAGTATATGCAAAACATTAGACCTGAGGAGGGAAGAATTATGGCCTATGCTTTTGAATGTGTTGGGGGAAATTGCATGATGGTAACTGTGAATGAAAAATGATTATCTGTTTGGATGACAGTGTAACCAAAGGACTCCCAGCTTTATGTAGAGGCAGCATAAGATAGTAAGTAGTTCAAGTCATGGGCTTTGGGACCAGACTCACTGGATAAGTAACCTACCTCATGGGGTTTTAATAAAAATGAAGTGCCTTAATGTGTATAAAGCACATAAAACATTCCTCATATTGATGGCAGTTTCAAGACATGACTACTTAGTGGTCTTAGTAACTCACTTGGCACCAGGCTAATACAGCAGAAGAGGTGCTGTATAACTTCAGAGGCTAAGTCAGAAGAGGCCCTGCAACTTCTACACCTTCCCTAAGGATGCTTATTGGGAAAACAAAGTAGAAGGAAGTCAAGTCTGACTTCCCTGAGACTGCCATACCAGAGAGGCCATATGTAGTCAAGCCAATCGAACTCCAGCGGAGGCCCCAGCAGACTATTAGCATCAACTGCCAGGAATGGAGTGAGCCACCGTGGACACCCAGCCCAGTGGAGCCTTTAGCAGACTGTAGCCTTGGCAGCCGGTAATTACATGAGAGGATCCCAAGTTAAAGCTGCCCAGGCAAACCCTCTCTGACCTCTAACTCACAGAACCATGAGAAAAATAAAATAGTAAAATGGTTATATTCTTCATTATGGAAATAATATAATATATAAAATATAAAGAATACCCATGATCCCTTTCCCAATTTTTCACATATCATGAACATTTTACCCCATTTGCTTTATCATTCCCCCTCTCGATACCTACACACAGAGTCATATGCTACATAACATCCATTCAGGCAAGGTTCAATTGCATATACCTTCGTGGACCCAATATCCATAAAGCATACTATATTAAAATTTTAAGGAATAAGGGGGCTTCAAAAAGTTACTGCTGTTGTTAAGTATCATCAAGGTAATTCCAACTCATAGCAACCCTGTATAGGGTTTCCAAGGAATGGCTGGTGGGTTTGAACACCAACTTTACAGTTAGCAATACAGTGTTTATCCTACAGCACTACACCAGGATGCCTCAAAAACTTAATGGGGGTGGGGGTAAAGTTGATGGAAAAAACCATTATCTTTCTATTCCATTTTTCCATGAACTTTTTGAAAACCCCACACATACAATACAATGGTTTATAATAACAAACAGGCACTATTTTGCAACATCCATAAAAACATGATTACTCATGATTACTATTACTGTATTATTACCCTAAAGATGTTTTAGTGTATTTGGAAGTGCTGTGTTTTTTTATGCACAGAAAGTTACACTATATACTTCATAATAAGACAAACGCTTGATTAACCGGCAAACCATACTTAACTGTTGTGACTTATATACAAATTCAATTTAAAGACAGATTTAGATTATAATAAGATGGATCTAGATTATAATACAGGAACTGCTTGTATATAACATGGTGTTCAACATCCAGTTCACATAAAGTCTTATTTCACAGAACGTATTGTGGACATTAAGTGACATATGACTATATAGAAGGGAACTTTAAACAAAAACATCCGTGGAAAAAGTCTTTCTCCCCTTTCAAAAAGATACTGAAATCAGAAAAGATTATCAAATCCTAAACGTATCCAAAAGAAAGTTATTCCCCGAACAAAAATACATAACTATACCAATCATAATCATTTGGGCTGGAGGAATAAAGTATTTGTCCTAAAACAATTAGAATGAATTCCTTTGTTTTCTGGGATTCTGCATCTAGTGGTAGAAGCAGGAAAAGTTAAAGAAGAGGAGAACTTGATAAACAGTACAAGCCAGTGAGCCCATAGTGCCTATATGCCACAAACAGTTAAGAGTTAGACTAACAGCAAAAAGCTTGGAGGCGCTAACCCACCCCAAGTTGCCTCAGAAGAAAGACGCAGCCATATGCTTCTAAAAGACCACTGCCTTGAAAACTTTCAGAGCAGTCCTATTTTATATACCTGGAGCTGCTATAAATTAGAATAAATTTGATGGCAACTAACAAGTAGCATAGTGGATTATGAGCTGGACTGCTAACCACAAAGTCAGTAATTTGAAACTACCAGTTGCTCCATTGGGAAAAGATGAGGCTTTTTGCTCAACAACAAAGATTTATAGCCTCATAAACCCTACACAGGGTCATTATGAGTCATAACTGACTTGGTGTCACACAACCATAAACTATTACCACCACCATAAATATGTGAGCCCATATGTACCAAATACTAGAGTTTTCAGGGTAAAGGAAAAACCAGTTTGTTGAGCTGCTTCTCTGCCTGCACACACACAGAGCTCTCCTTTTTTCCCTATTCTTTACTACCGCCATTTCTGTGCACAGACAAATCCAACATCAACACTAACACCAAATAAGCAAGCCCTATCCTGATATGGTGCTGTGGGCTAATGCATCAGACTGCAAAGTCATTTGAACCACAAGGTTTGTAGTTCAAGCTCACCAGCTGCTCCTTGGAAACCCTATATAGGGTCGCTATGGGTCAGAATTGACTCGACGGCCCTTAACAACAGCAAAATCCTACAGAAAATGTATGTTGGTTGCCTCCCAGACATCCATTTCTCCTTCCTTTTTCAAATATGTCCAAATTCTCCATATCTGTAGCATAGGAATGATTGACCTCATCCCCAGCACTAAGGGTTGACTCTGAGTCACTTACAGCGTATCAACCATCACTGGCTACAATAATTAGTTGAAGAATGAATACATAACTTAAATTATGCCAATCAGGAACAGATTCAATTGCAGAATTAAAGCCACAATAAGATATTACTTTGCACTCTCTGGGATCGTTAAAATTTTTAAAAGACAGGCAAAACAAGTATTGGTGATGATTTGAAGAATCTGGACCCCACCCCTGCTGGGAATATAAAATGGTGCCTCCACTTTGGAAAATAGCATCATCATTCCTCAAAATGTCAAACATATAGTTACCATATGACGCAACAATCCCACCCCTAGGTATATGAAAAGGTACAGCCACACAAAAACTTGTAAAGAAAAGTTCATAACAATATTATTCATGATAGCATGAAGGTAGGAACAATGTAAATGTCCATCGGCTGATGATGGAAAAACAAAATGTGGTATACCAGTCGTTGTTGTTAAGTGCCATCGAGTTGGTTTCGACCCATAGCAACCCTGTATAGGGTTTCCAAGGAGCAGCTGGTAAGCTTGAACCACCAACCTTGCAGTTTAAAGGGCTTTGCAGTCTGGTGCATTAATCCAAAACACAACACCAGGACGCCGGTATACCAGTAGAACTCATTATTATTTAGCAATAAAGAGATAACGTACTGATACATGCTATAACCTGGAGGAAACTTGAAAACATTATGCTAAGTGAAGGGAATCCCCAACATCACTCGGAGGTGGTTATAGTTGTTAAGTGCCTTCAAGTCAGTTACAAGTCATAAAGACCCTCTATAGGGTTTCCGGGACTGGCTGGCAAGTTTGAACCACTGCTTTTCTTACAGCGCCACACCAGACAGGATTCACTCAGAGGAAGACCACATATTTTTCATTCCATTGATATGAAATGTCCAGAATTCACAATCTAGAGAGACAGAAGGAGATTAATGGCTAACGGGGTG